AAAATAAGGAAAATAATCAGTTTGAATAGTTGGAATAACAAAAAAGTTCAGGATTATAAAGGTTAACGAAACTAGTTGGAATATTTTAATGAAAAATTTAATTTAAGAAATAGCTGTTTCTTGATCAAATAATTTAATAAATAGCTTAAAAGAAGATTATTATTTAAAAAAAAAGCCGATTATTTAGCACGATACTCTTCAATTATTAATCTTTCTCCATTTCCGTTTCGGTTAACAAACAAATACAAAAAAAAAGCCCAAAGAGTCCTTTCCTCCCAATTCGCAGCGAGAGAGAGAGATGGCGCCGCCGGCTAAGGAGCGGTGGTGCTTGGCATTGATTATTGTCTTGCTTTCTCTGTTCGTCCAATCCTCGACGGCCATTTATTGCGGCGAAGATGATTGCTATGCTCTCCTCGGGTTCTCACCTTCCCTTCTTTTGTTTTCCCATTCAGATTTTGATTTTGATTTCAATCTTCTCTCTCTCTTAATCTCTGAACATTTTGAATTTCAGAGTGGCTCAAGATGCAAACGCATCGGATATAAAGAGATCTTACTACAAGCTTTCTCTTGAACAGTAAGCATTGATTTGGATTTGATTTGATCTTTGATTTGATTTGATTTGATTTGATTTGATTTGATTTGATTTTCTTTCTTACGTTAATTGTTTTGGTGATTAATTAGTCATCCAGATAAGAATCCAGATCCTGAATCCAAGAAGCTCTTTGTCAAAATTGCCACTGCTTATGAGGTTCTTTCTCTATCCTTAATGATTTTGAATAGGATTTGTATCTTTTTAGTCTCATTATACATCTGTGTATTTGTGTTATGGGTGAGTTTGTTTTTAGCATATTCATGATCGTTGTATGATAGATTTGATTGTCTTCTACGAGAAATTTTATTGGATCTGTGAGATTTTTTTTATCGTTACGTTCTAACCATTTAGTGGAGAACTTCAAATCAGAGGTTGATCTTGATTTGTGATATTAGTTTCCTATTGCAGCATGCGTGCTAATTACTATTCACAAAGTTCTCAGAAGGGTAGTTTTTGAATTGTTTGTTTGTTTGTAATCTTCTTGTTGCAGATTTTGAAGGATAACGAGACTCGTGCTCAGTATGATTATGCTATTGAGCATCCAAGTGAGGTCAGTACAATATTTTATTTATAAATGTCAATGTCATTCTTTGTTTTCTTTTTAAACACCGCGTTGTGTTTCTTGTATCTAGGTATTTTACAACACTGCTCAGTACTACCGAGCCAAATATGGACATAAGTCGGTAAGATATTACTGTCATGGTTTTGATAACTTCTCTTGCAAACGTGGAATTTTGAATTTACACAACTGCTTCATGTGTTTCTAGGATCCCCGTGCTGTTCTTGTGGGTCTACTGGTTGTTTTGTCTGCGTTTCAATATCTGAACAACGTCGCCAGGTATAATGAGGTACGTATCTGAGCAAGGGGTGTTCCTCTCATGCCTAAATTTATGTGCCATAGCGTGTTTCTGATGTATGATGCTATGCAACAGAACTACTCATCTACATAACTCTGTCAAACAAAATCAAGTTTTATGGGGTATTATGTGTATCATAACATGTCATTAAACATAGGACGTGTTATCTTAGTGTTATTCATATACTTTGGTGCTTCAAAACCAAATATACGGACTTTGAGCACATTTTCGTAATGGGACCTGCGCCATTTGTTTGATGCAGGCTTTGGCAACTGTTAAGCGAACTCCTGCTTACAAAAACAGGCTCAAGGCCTTAGAACTTGAACGCACTGGTGGAGTATCTAGCAAGAAGAAGGGTCCAAAGCAGATCGACCAGTATGCTATTCTATTGCCCTTTTGTTAAATGAGAGTGAGTCTCTTTGGGGACTCTTATCATATCCGTTTCTTCTTTTGGCAGGAAACTACAGGAAGAGCTAAGCAATGAACTCGACCTTCAAATCAAAGGAGCTGAAAAACCTTCAGTCTGGGATCTTCTCGGTGTTCGATTTGTTCTCCTCCCTTACACAATCATTAAGGTTTAATATTTTAAAGAATCTCCACATTTCACCAGACTCCCATTCCAATTTCTCAAGATCGCTGATTCAGCTTTATGTTTTCTTGCAGCTTCTAGTATGGTACAGCAGCTGGGTATGGAGATATAAGGTTAAGAAAGCTCCTTATTCATGGGAAGATGCTTCTTACTTAACCCGAAGATCACTTGGGGTGCCTCTCGACGCATGGACCAATCTCGGTATCCTTCTATACCATTCTCTACAACGAACCAACACATGAATAAAAGATTTGATTCTAATGTAATGTGTTGATGTGTCAGATGAATATAAGAAGGAAGATCTGGTGCAGAGAAGGCTATGGGAGAAGCAGAACCTTGAGAACTACTATGCAGAAATGCGTAAAGAATCAAAGCGGAGAAGATAGGTTGGCCCACTTATCACATACCATCCACGGAGAGATACACATGAGAACTCAAGTTCCAGAAGCACTTTTGTTACCATTATTACTTTAATGTTATTAAGATATCTGAACAAACAAACCAGTTACAAGAAGAGACAGTATAATTGTATGGTTCAAGGAACCAAATCTCAATTTAGCATATACAAGTTGGATCATGTCTGATAATGGGCATGATCCGGTTTTGACTCTCAATTTTTGTTTAACCAATTTTCCCAAGTATGTTCAGATCCATTTCTGATACTGAAATTTGCTTACACGAAAGATAACTTCATGATCACCCAAGAGGGAACTTTTGTTTGTTATTACTATAAACGAAAGAGACTGGAAGAGAAAACAATACATGACTTAGATCATTAAGGAACCTCAGAATAACACAAGATAAGTCGTCCAGAGTTGAAATCAAAGGGAATAAGAATAAATGTGAAAGCTAAAAGATTAGGTTATACATTGCTTTTCTTATACATCTAGTGTCCAACACTTGCTTTCCACACATTGCACACAATCCTGCACAACCCATGAATGAAAAGGCCAATTTCATGACTTATTGAGTTCCTCCATTATAAGGCGATCTAATTAGAGGTGTTATAACAGATAGGTTACTATATTTACCTTTGCTATAGGCACATGTGTGACAATATTTACCATCTTGATGCACTTGCTGCTTGCAGATCATACACTTTGTGGTAGCGGTACCATAAGGTGTCCATCTATAAACAAAGAAACATAACAAGACAAGATCAGAAGCAGCAAGGAAAATATAACCTGAACAAACTGTCAGTGCCAAATACGACATACACTACGTTATAACTAAAAAAAACTACCTAAACTTCTTAAAACATGCATGAACCTATATTGACAGTAACAGAAGTTAGTTAACCGTTTAAATGATAAAATGACGTCGTTTTGATTTCATTGTTCTTTTTAAAATATATGTACATTCCAGAATTCAAACTCGTGCCTTGTCACTCTTTATAACAGACACATCAACCACTAGATTAAAGAAACTTTTTAAATAATACTACAAATTCGTAATTATATATGCTACGACACTTTTTCATCTTCTCTAATTAAAACTTTGGTTATTATTATTTTTGATTCTTATAATATATTAACATGTTTTTTTAATTATTATATATTTTATAAACTTATATTATACTAAATATTAATAATAAAATATTGTAATTATACAATAATAAATATATTTCATGTTTTGCAACTATTTACAAAATGTTCATATATAAATTATTTTAAAAATTTAAAATCTGAATGGTAATTTGTTTTATTTTGGAAAAGTATATTCAACTTATATTAATTTTGAGAAACAAAAGAAATTAACATTCAAGTTTTAAAAATTTAAAATAATTTATATATGGAAATTTTGTAAAATAGTTGCAAATCATGAAATATTTTTTTTTTATAATTATAAATATTTATTATTTATGTTTTAGTATTTATAAGGTTATTATATATGTTAATATATTTATAAGAATCAAAAATAATAATAACCAAAGTTTTAATTAGAGAAGATGAAAAGTATAGTAGCATATATAATTGTAAATCTGTAGTATTATTTAAAAAAGTTGCTTTAGTCTAGTATTTGATGTGTCTGTTTTACAGATTGAAAATGTGCATATATTTTTTTTTCTTAAATAATGAGATCAAAACAACATCGTTTATCATTTTAACGGTTGACTAATTAACGGTTGACTAACTTCTGTTACGGTCAATGTAGGTTTAGTTTTTTGATATTTGACACTCACAGCTTGTTCGGATTATATTTGGCACGATTAAAGTTATTTGGATAGAATAGACACTTTTTCCGCCTAAAGTCATATTGAATATGTGATGCTTTTAAATGGATCCACAGTTTTTTGGGGCCCACAATTTAAAGAAAAAACTTTAGAAAATAATTTTGTTTTTTTGCATATATGATTTAAAATAAAGTTGCAAAATACATTATGCAACAACAATAAGCTAATTAAACCATGTTAAATGTAAATATATATCTTGTAGAAAATTATTTTGGTTAGTTGTTTGTTTTTATAAAATGTATAACTACTATGATAAATATAATTTTGTATAAAATATTTAATATACTTTAGTGATTATAATTTTTTTTTTATATGGAGCCTCAAAAAATTCAGTACTGACACTGATATTACATTGTTCCATAAGTCCGTCAACTGAGTCAAATTTGATCTGCTTAAATAGAGGCAATAAAAAAGAAATGAGCGTAACTGAGAGAGAAAATAAAAAATTTGGTTATAAATAAAGAAAAGACAATTATCTCAAATAACCATACAATTCTAAATGGAAAGAAAATCATTTTGCAGATATTAAAAAAGACAAAAAAATGAATTTATTGTAACAATCATTCCATTTTTTTTTTGCATTGACACAATGATAATAATTTTTGTCTCCATAAATATTGCATTTCTTTATTCAAGTTCAAACATATATATATATATATATATATATATATATATATATATATATATATATATATATATATATATATATAAAACATGTCAACGAGATGGTCAATTTTCTTTAACATGATCATACACATGACCCTCATGATCTTCACCACATAATTGATGCACAATACTTCTAGCAGAGAAGGAGTCCAACCTTACGAACCCGTCAAGCTTATCCTCAGCCAACCAAATGGTTGCTTTTAGTCTATGTCGACCTTTAGATTTGTCCGCCGATTTGGTAGCCGGCGACATGTGGCAATTACTGAACTTGATTTTTTCACATTTTCCTGTGAATTTTGAATGGTTAGTCGGTTTTGATGACACTTTGGTAAAGACTCCAAAAGCTGGTGGCGAATGCAACTGGTTCACATATTGGTTTGCAAGTCGTGAGTTAAATTTCGCCTGAAGAATCATCCACGTCCGAACAAACCCGTGTTGACGACCTTCCCTTTTCATTTATTACTTATTTTGATTTGAGACTTTGTGCAATTTAGAATTATCATGTTCTATCCATTATAATTTACTACATGAAATCTTAAATATAGTTATTTTCCTTTATTATTTACAAACTAACTATTTACTTATTTATTTGATTTTAAAATTTATATAAACGACCTAGCGTAACTTAATTTATTTTCAAGTCTATTGTGTGCTCTCATTTTCCTTAGATTCCATCCTTAAGTATTACAGTTAAACATCTTATTTGAATAAATAATTAGTAGCTCTAGGATAATTTGAGCACTTACCACACAACATTCCTTTTGCTAAATCGTTAGAAGCTTCATTGCAATACATTATCAAAATTTAAACTACCTAGAGAAACTAAATATTTAATAGTGTGCTCTGGTTTATTAATTAAGAAAACTTGCAAGGATCCCATGGATTTATAATCAAACCCTATTAAAAGATAAAATATTCATGAATCAAAGTTTATTAGAAACAAAAAAAAATTCATACATATGATACTGCTTTACTGATATAATAGCTAACTTCTTGCAACGCACAAGACATGCTCGTTCTCCTTATGTCACTGATTATTCCCTCACAATCTTGAATTTTTCTAGAAACCAAATAATCTCCTACAAAGATTGTCTTAAAGAGGAGCTCAAATCAGTTACCAAAATTGTAGCCGTCAAACAGAAACTCGTTTGGATCATACTGCAAACTTTGATAAATTGACTCGAGATCCGTTAAATCAACGCCATTATAAGCTTGTTCTGGTTCATTCTTTCTCATCATGTAATTCACATGATTTGAAGGCTGATATTTTCGTTGTTGCTGCTGCTGCTGGAGATGGTGATCATGGTTCAAGTAGGGCAAACCAGGCATATTATTGGTCACGAACTGGTTGTTGTTCATTGCCAAGTAACCATTTTGATATTGATTGTCTTGGACAGGGTAAATAGGTGGACCATTCATATAGGATGATGGTGCTATGAAACCATTGTTCATACCTAAGAAAGGCGAAGGTTTACAGAAACTAGACCAACCAGTTTCTGGATACTGTTGAGGAATTGGGTTCTTCTCAATAGTTTGACGATATTTCTGCACGACAACACAATTGATGTAGAATTTGTGTTATTCATATATGAAGAATCCTAGTTTAATTGTCACAATAAATAATATATAAAAGTTTTTGTTTTAACCTGAAGATGACTTGACACATTTTTTTGAGTGAGTCCTTCGATCTTCATATCTTGCAAGCATCTGAGAATTCCCTTTGGGGTAGCTTCTGTATTTTCATTCAACAAATTGATTAGTAAATAAAAGAGAAATAATAAATAAATTGAACAACTAGGGATTTTAGAATATTTAGATTACTTTTAGGCCCACCAAGTAAAACGATGGCATCAAGAAATTTTTGTTGAAGATCTCCAGTCCACAATATCCGCGGTTTCTTGAAAGATGTCTCTTTTTTCTTATTGATGCTTTGTCCAAAGTTGTCTTGTCTTACGGTCCTTGAATCATCGTTGTCTTGTTCTGAACCGTTACTCTTAACCGTCATTCTTTGTTTCTTTGTTATTTTCTCTTCTATCTTATCGATGTTCTGCTCACTACGATCTTGGTCTACAGTCACTGAATCATCTTTGTCTTGCTTTGAACAGTCATCATGGACCAATACCGGTGGAACTAAACCGGGTTTAGAAATCCCCCTCTTGCATACAATGTGTTGCCATATGGTGGCCATGATCTCGTTTCTAACCGGTTTTATAACATACTGGCATGCACCATGTTGAATTGCGTCCATCACCGATTCGGTTTGATGGTCATTAGACATAACTACATAAATTTGAAATAAAATATTATATTAACAAATTAAGAGAAATTTAGTTTATAATAGTTTGACAAGCAAAATTTAATGCGAGATTGACATACTCACTACAGGAAGATCCATCTTTAAACCAATGATTTCAAGAGCTTGCAGTCCATTAATTCCAGGCATATGATAATCCCAAATCACAATATTAATCTCATGTTTACAATTTGTCAGAAACGAGATAGCTTCTTCTGCGTTCGCATAAGTTGTCACTGGATAACGAAAAAGAATTATAAACAATAAACCCTAACTTTAGCAATTATTTATTAAATCGAACAGATTATACATATATACAAGAGAGTTACCTTGATAAGTGTACTGTTCCATGATTTCTTTCATATTACGTAAAGTGATGAGATTCGCGTCGACAACAAGAACATTAGTACTCTGCGGAAATTCTTTGAGAGGAGAGTTGACTTCTGAAGTTTCCTGCTCCCGAAAGAGAGTCTCATCTCCATCCTCGGTTGTATGTTCTAGCGGCATTAGAAAATTTTACTTTTGTATAGATTTGGATGAAATTGAGAGATAATATGTATGCTAGAAGATATATGCATCTTATTACAAGGACGAAGGAAGCTTTTTATATTACAGAATTGGATTTTATTATCATGAAATTTTGACATGTGTCAAAATTAAATTTATATTGATTTTTATTTTTATAGGTGTACATAGTATATTATAATAAAAATGGAATGTAATATTTATGGTAGAATACAATGAAAGAAATATTGAAATTAGCTGTCCTGTCAACCTTTACATTTTAAAAATTTTATCAAAAGATCCCAAAAAAAGAAATATACTATTTGACTTTCTCCTCTTTTTACATGACTTTCTAACTGTGTTTTTCTTAATAAACTCTATTGTATAGAAATGTAAGAATTTATTTTTCAGTATGAATTAACTTAAGAGGATGTTTTATTTCAATTTTTATTAAGGAGTTTGTATTTTCTTAATAGAGTTTCATTCCAGATTAGACTTCCAATTATGCTGGCATTTTACCCACACCTAAAATTCCAAACCAAAATATATCCAAAATTAAAGGTTCATTTCGGGTCCGAGTCTATATTGTACATGTGGAACTCGTTCCGGATTCAGGTCTTACCCGAGACCTGATCAGCTACCCAAATAACTAAAAATATGTATTGTGGTATTAACGATATTTTAAAGTTTGGCTTCGGGTTTTCAGATATAGTTTTGAGACTTCCAGTAAAATTATAAATGTGTAAATATACTTTCATAGCTTTTTTGGGCACTCGGGTATTCATGTATTTCTCGAGTTTTGTTATGTTCTGATTTGTCTGGTACAATTTGGATCAGGTACTTCCGGTACTAAATATCCAACTTGGACCTAATATGAAACGTTTTTGAACCAAAAAATGACAGGTACCTATATGGGTCCGAGACATGAAAACCCCAGTCTCGATGGGAACACGGCCAAGGGTAAATGCTATTTCAAAGAACCATTTTTGTGTGAATACTTACACAAGTATTAGGATAATCGGGTTTACTTCGTCAGCTTAGTAAATAATGAGTATTGGTTAGTTTACCTTAACATATATATATATATTATATGAAACGAATTATATATATGACAATAATTAAGATAAATGACAAACTTTTCCTCATCATATTCTTCTTTCCGCTTTGTATTTTTAAGCTTTGATTCTCTTCACAAACTCAATGAATCTGAGTTGTCATGTTCTTTGGGAACTTTCCACCATGATATAAATCCGGTTTAATTTTTTTTTGGTATTTTCAATTCTTTTTGAGTCATTGTACGTTCATGTACAGTTTGGACAAAAATATAATGTTTGGAGCATATTTGGAGCCATAAGAATATTGTAGTTGAAAAGATCAAATCGGATTGCATCTTTGGACTTAGTGTTGATCGAGTAAATGTACTGAATTAGTAATACAAATCACAAATACTGTACAACTATAATGAGTGTACTAAATTAATTATGGTAAAAAAAAAAAACCAGCAGTTTTAGAAGAATACATTGATGCTAACTGAATATCAGATTCTAAGAATTTAAAATCCATAAGTTGATATATTTTACACTAGGAGGGGCAGTAATATCGTGAAAATCTACCAAACAAACACTTTCAGCCCTATCCACCATATAATTTGAGTTCATAGCCTTAGACAAACCAGCCAAAGAAACTGAATGGCTTGGCAAAAAATTAGAAGATATTCCTATGTGGAAGAAACATGTGCCAGCTATACGAGTATATTGTACTAGTTAATCGGCTATAGCCCATGCTCGGAATAATCTCTAAAATGGTAAATCTTGTCACATCAGAAGACAACTCTTTCTTGTTTTGTTTTCATTATTTTATTTTTATTAAATCGATTTGTCTTAACTCGATATCAAACTCATAGAAACAAAGTAAGAATGGTCTTCTGGAATTGAATCTTACTTACTACATCTATTATTGTTAGCGTGCAGTGAAACACTCAATCTTAGTGTACCATAGGGTTTCCATCAAGCATTCTCATTTGTCACATGTTTTATGCCCATTCCTTCTGATGATTAGCAACAACTATCTCGTAGCAAACCCTTAATAAATGGATTTGCTAATTCTCAGCCGATTTGATGTATTCCATTGTGATTACATTATTTGATATTAATTTTAGAATTAACAATGTGTAACAAACTAACATATATATATATATATATACGGAACATATAAAATGTGTTTGGAGCTCATGTAAATGCAAATGGTCAACATACTTGTATACCCAGAAACTCTCATTATTTTAACATTATATTTGAAAGTTTTTTTCTGGCTCAGCCTTATTTAGGAGTATGTCTGGTCATCTAAACATACTTGTAAACCAAGAAATTCCCATTACTTTAGCATTACGTTTCCATTTTTTTTCCTGGCTCGGCATTATTTAGGAGTATGTATGATTGAGATCCAAAATCCCGAGCAAAAGAAATTTGATCAGTACTATACAAATACCTGAATGATCCACATAGGATGGTATTCTAGATTTTGTGTTCTATCTAAACTAGTTGTTTGTCCGCATACTCGGGAATAAGCATTTTATAATCAATGATTAATACATGCATTACTAATAAAAAATCCAAGGATAATTATTCTTTATGTTTTCTTTTGATTTTTTACGTATTAATTTTTTTTGAAATTTTATTTGTACACTACATTCATTATTAATAAATAAATTTAAAATCACTCAATCTTATTTTTCATTATATAAAATTAAAAATTTTACTTAGTTAATATTTAGTTATATGTTTTCTAGTTTCTGAATATTTTATTTTTTTATTAAAAGATATTTTTTTCAATAATAAATATATTTTTTTAGTTTTGGATAATTCTTTTTATTATTAATTTAAGTCACTTATCTAAAAAATAAATTTTATATTTCTTTATTGGCTAATTTCTAGTATATTTTATTTATTAATGATAAAATGATGTTAACTGACTAGATTTTGACCCGCGCTTTCAAAGCGCGTATTTGTTTTCCTTTTAAAATTTATTTTAAAATTTGTAATTACTGAAGTTTTCTTTCATATTTTTAAATTTTTTTTAGCAAACTAAATATCATCATCTTTCATTATTATTGGTAAAAATAAACTATTATGTTTTACAAATTTGGATTATTGTTTTGAGAGGATTTAATAGTATAGATTTAGCACATATGTAAATATTATTATGATGAGAATGTGTTTTTTCTTAAGTTATTTTATATAGAATTTTAATTTATTAATCAACTATTATACTAAGCTTTCAATAAGTATTTATGAATTTCATTATAATTTTAAGATTTGTTATTAAAGTTTAAAATATATTAAGATAAATCAAATTTATTTTTGTCATGTGTTTAATGGGCTGAAATTGCAAAAAGAAAAAATGATCTGAAAATACAAAAAAATATTAATCTTGGCCCAATTGGCCCGTCGGATAAAAAGGAATATAGCATATTCGATTTCAGTTTTGGAAAATCTTTAGAGTAGTGATCAAGCAAATCTATTTAAAGATATATTGTTAGTTAAGATTTTACATATATATACAATTCGGCTGGAATAAAATCTACTCTTAATATGAAGGATATAAATACAGAAGACTTTTTTGTTACTATACGTATCCTTGATGGCCAAGGTAAAGATTTTATGCATTTTGGGATTTGTTTTAGTTTGGGCTTATTGAAGATAGATATTTAGTATGTCATGTTGTTTCTCACGTTTGGGCCTATAAAATCCAACAACAATAAGGAAAAGCCGATAGAATAGGATGAAATCGATAAGGGTAAAATAACCATAATAACCTTAATGAAGATGCCGATTTACACTGAAAAGCAGTGGCATATGTAGTAGTTAAAAGGGCAATTTGAGGGGAAAAAATAGATAGGATCCTGCTTTAATAGTATAGACTAGATCTTGACCCGCCCTCAGGAGGGCGGGTATATTTTTTTGTTTTTAATTCTTTTTGACTAACATGGTTTATATGATTGTGTGTTTGTATAATGATAATTTTGTATGCCTCCATATCATTTTTATTGTAGTATGGATGTTTTAATAGTATTGAATTTTACAGGTGATTTTAATTGATTCATTCGACTTCTAACTTTTATAATAGAGAATTTAAAATATTAAATTTTTTTTTTGATAATGTTACAAATTCAAATGGTTGTATACAATGTTTAATTAAATACACTATTGGAATATTTAATTTGCACTTTGTTTAGAATCCAACAGGTTTTGGAAACTATAATTGGACTTCGGATGTTTCCGAATTGGTGTCTTAATTAAATGAACTTCGGTTATATTATATTGTTTTATGAGAACCACCAACTTATAATGTAAGTAATCACAAAAGCTTGTATTATTAAAAAAAAAAATTCATTACCGACACCGACACCATCGTTTACTCCGCTGTAAGGAAAGCTATTGTTCATCAAAGAAGAAGTATTCAAGGTTTCAATCAATGGAGTAAAGAAACCCAAGCTGTCTGACTCGTAAGTTTTAAGTTTATCAACATCTGATATTCAAAGTTTCAATCGTTTCTATTTTGATCGGTACAGATCTGTTTGTATGGTTTAAAAAAAAAAGATCGATGGCTGTTTCTACACAACTAACTACCAGCAAGAAGAGTCTTGATGGAAACAGAAGATTGAACATATCTTTTGCTCTACAAAGGTAAAATCGATATTGTCAAAACATTAACGCATCTAGTCTAGTCCTTTTATAATTAATAAGAACTATTGATGTAATGTCTGCATAAATTTAATATTGTGTTTTGAATTTTTAGGCATGCTTGCAACAGAACAACTCTAATGACTAATACTTCAATAAATTTATGCGAGATGGCAGTGCTGGACATTGGAATAAGATAAGTTTTTTATTCTTATATAGAGATAGGAATGTAACTGATCATGGTTAGGTAGGATAGAGTACCGCCTCTGAATAATAATAATATTAGATAGTTTATGTGGGAAAAGTTGGTTTGGTTGTGAAGCATTCAATGCGCGGATCAAAAATATGAAATCCTCATCTTTAATCTAAAACATACTGAATGAAAAAATGTATCAAACTTTTAATAAACTCGAAACCACTAATGCAAAAACAGAGTTAAAACGTCCTTCAATATCTCAAATATAAAGAAATCAAATCCCAAAGAAACATAACTTATTAAGCATGAAACCATCACAGATTAGAGACTCTGAAAGATCTCTTTAAAAACTACATTCTTTGTAGTCTTCTGAGGTTTTCCATCCTCATCAACAATTAATATTTTTAAACCCTTCTTTGATGTAACTCTGGATACAGCAACATAAAGCTGCCCATGTGAAAAACCGTTCTAGGTAGGTATAATCCAACTTTAGCGAGCGACTGACCTTGACTTTTGTTGATTGTAATCGCAAAAGCAACAGCAAGGGGCAACTGCCTTCTACTCATTTTGAACGGTAGTCAGTTATCTGTAGTCTAGTTCCATTCATCAGACCTTCTGTATGATTAAGTTTTCTTAGCAACATCACTGGACAACCAATCTTCAGACGGAGATAATGGTTTGGAAGACCAGAAGCTTTTATAGTGTTCAAGAAATCTGGAGTTAAAGCTTGGTCATTAACAGAACCGGTATCAGAAGGGTCTATACTGTCTCCACTTAGAAAAATCTTTTCTTCTCCTGGACAAACAAACAAATACCAACGTCTTGATTTAAAGTATTAAACTAAATAATAAAATACATAATACAAAACCAAAAAAAATGTACTAACCATTTAGCTTATCCAACATATACTGATTGATAATGTTGACATCCTCATTTGTAGGACAGAGAATTGCTCTTTCTTGAAAAAAATTAGGGTCTTTGTTTTGCTGAAGAGAAATAGCATCTCCATAGATTTCTTTGCTTATGGATTCGATAGGATCATTTGAATCAGTAATAAGAAACTCCTCTGGAATGTTGATAGTAGCATCACCATCGTTTTCTCCACCAACTTTCCATCTCCAATATCTAATATCCACTTTGAAAATTCAGAAAGCTCCTTTTCTTCTTGAATAGTCAAATTGTCGGATAACAGCCTCATATTCTGTGTTAGCTTTAGAACTTTGCAATGTTTCCACAAATAAGAAGAATTCAGAGCAGCCATCACAATCTCAGCCCTTCCAGCAGCATGAATTACCGGTAAAACTTGCCTGAAATCCCCTCCAAACACAATAACTTTCCCACCAAACGGATTATTGCCTTTATTTCCCACAATATCTGACAGAGATCTATCCAAAGACTCAAAACAGTGTCTGCTCATCATCGGTGCTTCATCCCAGATAATAAGCGAAGCTTCTTTAACCAAGTTGGCAAGATCGGATCCATGAGTGATGTTGAAGAATGAAAACTCATCTGGATTCATAGGTATTCCAAACCTTGAATGTGCAGTTCTTCCTCCTGATAACAAAAGAAATGCTATTCCGCTTGATGCCACATTTAGCACAATGTCTCCCCTAGATCTTATAGCAGAAGAGAGTAATCTCCACATGAATGTTTTTCTTGTTCCACCAAAGCCATAAACAAAGAACACACCTCCTATATTTTCATTTACGGAAGATGTTATCTCATCATATATCTTCTTCTTCTCAGCTGTCAACTTCTTCATATCTTGGTCATGAGTTTCTTTCAGTTCAGCCTTTATATAACTCCGCTCATCCGTTATCAAAACATTAGAACTTCCATCGATGTCTTTTGCTGGCTTTGGCATATGTTCCCATCTCTCTAAAGAGGTTCCATTACTCTTCAAAATCTTCTCAATTTCACGCAGAGCAAGCTGTTTTCTTTCTTCTTCAGTTAAACAAAGTTCTACAACATCAGTAAGTTTAGATTAGTAAATATCAACGAAACAAACCGTATAAAAACACATTATTAGAAATCGACTTTACCTGGTCGGTTTAGCTGTTTTCTTCTCATACACTGAAAGTCTTCAGATAGGTACTCCCAGGTATTTTCCCAAACAACTTCTGGTTTAGAGAGTGTATTAGACATAAGCATGATAACAAATACCTTACGCATATAGGGTGAAGAACTTGTGAAACTGGTCCTGATTATATCATCGATGTATTCCTGGTCATTTTGTAACAACCCCCTAGCAAAGCATGCCTCTTTGTAAGAAGGATAAAGGACTCCATTATAAGTTTTGATATCATCAAATGACGTAGGACCTCTGACAATATTTAGCAAAATTCGCAGATAGTATGCTTCTTTGATAATCTTTGGTGCATAATTGATTCTTCCAACACTGAACCCTCTAACTCTATCTTTCCAACGTCTCTCCTTCTTGTTCCAAGTAAACATAGTTGGGATCTGAGCTAGAGTCAGTTTTCTAGCAACAGCACTAATCTTTTTCAGTTCAAACCACCCCAAGAACATTGTGTTTTCAATTAGGTTTCTGCTGAGGACTTCGTCCTAAGTGTCATCGTCCTTGAACACAATAACCTGTTTACCTGGAAGATGGAAATAAATTTTCTCAACAGCCGTAGATCTATAGTGTATTGGATACTTGAAGATCCTCCATGCACCTTCAGAGGCAAAAACATATCTGCAAAGAGAGAATATAAGTAATATTACATTCACGTTCTAAGTATCATGCGCAGACTTCTATAGCAAAATCAAAAACAGTACCTGCCATCAAAAAAGTCCTTTATCTCATTTCTCTCTTCTTCGTTGGTTTTCTTTTTTCCCTTGGAAGTCTGGCCTGTGGCATCTTTCGCAGGAGGCTCAACAACAACAGTTATACGATCTTGCCCCTTATTAATATACTTAAATAAGTACTTGACCGAGCCTGACTGGTTGCACCATTCAACATTAATGTGAGCTCTGTACCGTAGAGATAGTTCTTTGTTATAAGGAATAACATACCTGTTATCACACTTGAAGCCATTTTTCTCTACAAACCTTCCATCTTCACGTCGTCTATAAACTGGAAACCCTTCTTTGTTCACAGATGTTTTCTCTACAAAGACCTTTGGATACTTTTTCGAACATTTACCATTTTCCATACATGGTGAATTCATGTTGACAACCCCACAAGGTCCATGAATCATCATATCTTTTACAACTCCATAAAGCTCTGGCTCTAATGTCTCGTCTGGAATTTCTGCCGAAATATGCTTGTCAATGTGATCAGTAGTAGGAAACTTAGAGTTGGGATGCATGAATAGCAAGATATGAGCATGTGGTAAACCACGTTTCTGGAACTCTACTGTATACATTGCTGCATTTTATACAAACTAATGTTAGATATACGAAATATTATGAAAATCACAAGTACTATAAACTGGTCACGAGAAATAAAAACTTACACTATACTGTTTTTCCCAATAGCTCCTTGTCGGTTAAATCACTCATTAGAGAATCCAACTTCATTTTGAATACTCTACAAATTATGTCTGGTCGGTCTTCAGCCTTTAGGTTGCTCTTCTCTAGATACCTTGTGATTTCAGGCCACTTGGGATTGCACGTAAAGGTTATGAAGAGATCAGGGAAACCAAAATGTTTACAAATAGCCATAGCGTCCAAATATAAGTTCTTCATGTAACGTGGTCCACCTACGAATGTAGCTGGAAGAAGAAAATGATTTCCTTGTTCCCTCATGTTAGATACACCAGCATTCTCTAGCTGTTTAATCGAGTCAAAGGTGTCAGACCTTAAACTCATCTGGTTCAACTTCAGATAACCAAGCTTATTTGTCTCGATCGTAATATAAGCATCACACTACAAGAAAACTCGTCCATTACTAGGACGGGTTTTCCTCGTTAGTTCCTAGTGAATGGCCTTTTACTAGGAACTTACGAGGAAACGCGTTTCCTCGAAACACGTTCATCGTAAAGCCATTTTCCTCGTAAGGTCGTAGCGAATTTACGAGGAAAGCTTTCCTCGTAAAGGCGTGGTAATATTTTCCTCGTAAGGTCCTCGGAAGCTTTCCTCGTAAGCTCGTAGTAAATATTTCCTCGCAAGGTCGTAGTGAAACATTACGAGGAAATAACTAGAACTTTTTACGAGGATATTACTTGGAATATTTTACGAGGATTTTGCTTGGAAATGTTTTTTTCCTATTAAAAAAATAATTACAAATAATTAATTTATTTTTAAAAAAAAAAAAAAAATCAAATTAAAAAAAAAAAAAATATTTTATAAATAACTAGATAATATACAATAAGTTTTTAAATTCATAATATACAAATAAAAATAAAAGAAACTACGGATGCTGGTCGTGAAATTGCTGACTGAACAAAACGTCGTCCTGGCTCGGCAAATCCTCTCCATAGTTGGTTGCCGGCTGTGACTGTGATGGCGGAGGATGTTGGGTACTTGGANTCGGCAAATCCTCTCCATAGTTGGTTGCCGGCTGTGACTGTGATGGCGGAGGATGTTGGGTACTTGGAATCCCTGCACGTTCCCGTCTCTGACGCAACAGCTCCTGCACTTGCGGGTTTCCAACCGCCATAATGTCGAGGATATTGGTGACAGAAGTGAGATCATCGGTGAGCGAAGTCACTTGAGACTGCGTCGCCTCTAACTGCGAGCGCAGCTGATCATTGACATCGTGCTGCTCCTGATGATAAGACGATGTCGCTGCAGGGACATCGTTAACCGAGCCAATCCCGATGATACGCCCCTTTTTCTTAGGGGCGACCTGAAAATAAAAAAATTAATAACATTAAGAAAATTTTTAAAAATATTAAAAATTAATAGTAAAACAAGTTATTTACCTCCTCGTAAATCTTATCCACGTCAACAGTGGATAATATGACTGGAGACCCAGTCTGCTGAGTAGGGATGGCAATCTGGACCGCGGCCCGCGGGCTAGTCTCATAGAAGGCCCATATGGGGCGGGTCTGGGCCAGCTAATTGTAGACCCAAAATAAAGCGGGCCTTGCGGGTAATGATGTTGCGGGTTTGGGCTTCTGCGGTCCGGTCCATTGCGGGTAAGCGGGTTAACAGAGGACCGCTTTTCATTTCTGTGTCGGCTCCTGAGAAAACAAAGAGTGAGAGAGTGTGAAGGCGATATCACCGAGGTTATCACCAACGATCTTCTTCCGGCTCCGGCGACTTGACTCGAGCTCTGACAGTACCTCCGGCGTCCTTTTCAAGCTCCGACGACTTGACTCGAGCAACCACCAGGGTGTCTCTTCTTCCTCGATCTACCACCACCGCCTCTCTTCATCCTCGATCTACCACCGCAGCTTCTCTCCTTCCTCTACCAGCCATCGGAGTTTCGCTCCTTCCTCTACCAGCCACCAGAGCTTCTCTCCTTCCACTACCAGCAACCGGAGCTTCTCTCCTTCCACTACCAGCCACCGATGTAAATAAACTTTAGCGCTTGTAGAAGCATTCCTGATGTAATACGCTTGCTGAATTGTAACTTTAATATGTTCTGTTTCAGGGTGCCTGAGACGGTTTATGGGAGCACATGTGGGGTGGTCCATTATACCTTTGATCATAGCTACAATCTCACCATCTGCTCATTCTTTGGAAGAAACTTTAAGCACTTTGGATTATGCCTATCGTGCCAAGAACATAAAGAATAAACCTGAGGTTTTGTTTACACTATCATATCTCAAGTTAGCTATATTATGTTTCATCCTTCTAACTTGACTTGCCTCTCTGCAGGCAAACCAGAAGCTATCCAAGGCTGTGTTGCTTAAAGACCTTTACTTGGAGCTTGAGAGAATGAAAGAAGGTTTACCCTTTACATACATAACATTCTGTCTATGTTCTCTTGCTTTTCTTATGTATATTTAAATCATACATTACTTGAGGTATTTCCATACATAGCACAGGAAAGATATGCACAAGAAGAGGCTGAAAAGAAGGTAAGTTCAAAGGACAAGCTTTAACTAATTCTTGAATCACTTCATGCTCAAGAATAATCATTTTGTTATTTCAGGCGAGAATGGAGAGGATAGAACGGTTGGAGAATGATTTAAATCTCAGTGAAAGTGTATGTATGCCGCCACCTTTTCTCTTCCATCTCTTGGAAACTTAATCAAGTAAAGTGGCTTCTCTTATGCAGGAAGCTTCCAAGTTCCGTGACCTTTACGTGACGGAGAAAGAAAAGTTACTGGGTGTAGAAAGTGACCTTAAGCATTGCAAGGTGATAAGTGCTTCACTGATTTACTCTCTAGATTACTCATGCTTACAATGAGAGTTGTCTTAAATTTTGAAACGTTTATGGTTCAGAGAAACCTAGATAATAGTAACAAGGAGTTGCATGACCTCAAAGAGAATTATATTCAAGTTATCTCAAAGCTGAAGGAAAGGGAAGCCACCATCTCCAAAATGAAAGCCTCAGGTAACAATTACTTGAGTTTATTTGTTGCTTAATTCGTGTTACTGATATTTTCTTGGACAGAGACTACTTTGATCGACCGTGCAAAGGGGTTACGTTCTGATTTGCAGCATGCGTCAAATGATATAAGTTCACTGTTCACAAGACTAGGTACTTGTTGTTACCTATGTTTGGGGATGTAAACAAGGTCTGTTAAGTGCTGATTTACACTTGTCTCTGCAGATCAAAAGGACAAGCTGGAATCAAAAAACCAGAGCATGCTTCTGAAATTTGGTTCCCAGCTTGATCAAAACCTTAAAGAACTACACAGAACAGTACTTGGATCAGTGTCTCAGCAACAGCAGCAGTTAAGAACTATGGAGGAACATAATCATTCATTTCTCGCTCATAAATATGATGTAAGAAAATACTATACCATGTCTCTTTTCTTTTTTTGCATTGGACCAATCACAGTCTTCTTGTTATAACTTATTATGTATATGTATGCCTTTAATCGTACCTTGTTTCTGTCTCAGAATATGGAATGCAGTGATACATTCAATGAGAATACTCCTCCCACAAGTGAACCTGAATATATATCTTCACTAGGAGCCGCGATGCAGTGGAACATTCTCCACAGGTTCAGGTTCTACTCGTTAGTTTAGTCTTATGTAGTAGAAAATTGAATATGCTAGGTTATCGGATTTGTAGTCT